GGTCGGCGCCCGTCCTCGGCTAGGCCCCCTGTGCCCGAGAAGGGGCGGGTCAGGGAAGAGGGCTGAGACTCAGTGCCCCAGAGACCAAGCGGCTGCGGGGAAGAGCCAGGGAGAGCACAGACGCTGCGGGGGTTGAGGTGACAAGACAGGCGCAGTGTCAGCCCGGGTGTCCTAAAGCTCCTTAGAGCCCCGAGCTGTGTTGCTGCGGTGCCCTGGGAGCGCGGGGCAGCCCCCGGGGGCGGGGCTCTTTCCCCGCGCCTGCGCGGACGCTCCAATCCCCAGCGGGTCTCGCCGCGCTGCCCGCTCCCCCCGCACCGCCCGGCTCCAGCGCACACGGGGATGGGGAGGGCTGAGACCCCTCTGAGTGTGAGAAGAGGGGCAGGTTGGGGGGTATTTGCCTCCCTGCCCCAATGCTGCGTTTCTGGGGCTCCCCCACGGGCTCAGGGGCTGCTTTGGGGCTCAGAAGGCGGCGATTCAGCCCTGCATTTGGCGTTGAAAGCCAGCGGTTCAATCTGACTTGTAACAGCTCCCAACTCTCTCATTTCAGACCCCAGATTGCAGAAAACCTCGCTGTCAAGAACTGAATGTCCAAAAAGGAGACAGAGGAGCCCTAAAACTTTGTTCAAATAAAGGGAGAGTTCATTGGGCATATCCCTGTCTCCCAGATTGCTGGAGGACACAGCCCCCGTTTTATCCTCATTTCCCGACCGAGGTAGCCCTTTCTTTTTCCCCACTGGCTACGGGACTCAGAAGTTACAGCCTTCCTGTTCCACCTACACCAAACTCCCGGCCTCCTTCCATCTGTTCTCACCTGAGCTCACCGGCCTCCCCTGTCCCCCCGCCAAAGAAGGGGGAGCAATTTCCTTCTTTCTTGGCAGATGCTCTTTTGTCCCGCTCACTCTCAGCCCTGCTCAGTCTTCCCCCTCTTTTTGTCCCGCTCATCAGCCAAAGAATGTGGGGGAATCCCCGTATTTGTGAACACACAAACTGGTGTGTTCCGCTCACATATTGTCCAATGCGTGTACAATGTGGCAGTGAAATCAGGGGCTGAGAGTGAGGGTGCCATTGTACTCCAGGAATATACAATTTACTTGAAAAAGTCCTTTTTACAGGAAATAGAGTTCTGGAATAATACTACCTTAAGTATCCCACAGCAATGGCAGTTGTGTGACTGAATGGCTCTGGCCTCTGATGTGAGTTCTGATGCATTATATGCAACTTTGCCAAGAACTTAAAGGTACAAAACTCTAAAAAGACAATCTGTTACTTACCAGAATAGAGTATTATTACTGGAAATAATTATTCCGCGATTGTAACTGGGTACAGCTTTGAAAAAGCTTTGAAAGGGCTTTCACTTTTGTTGTTGGTGACTTACAGTGTGATTTCTGAAAAGCAGCCCTTCCCCTCACCCTGGCAGCTCTGGCACGTGTTAGGAGTTGAACACCACGTGTTTTCCAGCCCTTCCATAGACACTACCTGGGCACATGGTCCCTCTTAGAGGTTTTCTTCTGTGCTGTGGTTCAGCGATGCCCACAAATAGCACCTAGCTCTACATTCCTCAGGCCCCAGGATGCAGCAGTTTCGGAGGAGAGCTGGCTTACTGTGCATCCACTGAGCATCCAGGGGAAACTATACCGAAACGTTGGTTGGTTGTTGTGTTATACACCTGTGATTTAACTGCAGAGCTCTGAAATGTACATATATCTTCAGTTCTATTTCTGGTTTTACTGCCACATCTCAGTGCCCCAACCATTGATGGGACAAATCTGAAACCCACCTCTGCTCTGGGCAGTGTCTCTCAGGGCCTTGAGCCCAGCGGTCCTGGCTGAGAACATGTTGTTTCTTGCAGTGAACCTCTTCCCTCTATTCATAGAATCATAGAATCATAGAATGGTTAAGGTTGGAAGGGACCTTTAGAGGTCATCTAGTCCAACCCCCTGCACACGCAGGGTCACCTAGAGCACGTGGCACAGGACTGCGTCCAAGCGGGTTTTAAACATCTCCAGAGAAGGAGACTCCACAACCTCTCTTGGCAACCTGTTCCAAATTCCTGCCATTAATTACGAACTGGAACTTTGGAAAACTACTGAGGGCCACTGGACTGCTGCCACTTCCACCGGGCAAGAGGGAGCACCAAGGCCGTGAAATGCAGGGATTGCAGGGAGGCTCTTCAGGGCAGGGGTTCCCTCTGCTTTCACAATTGCAAAGTCTGGCTCCAGCTGCGTCTGGCTGCCTCCCCTGCAGCGGAGATTGGATTTTCCTGCCCAGCCTCAGCACTTCCACTCTGCTAGCCAGCCTGCATCTGTGGTTTCCTCCTCTTATTCCTATGGCAAATGCTAAGATCTTAATTCCTAAGTAAATATGTCGTTCCTGGCTTTTCATAAAAGCCAAGCACAACTGACTAGAATGACAGAATAACAGCAGCTGTGTGACCTAGATTCAACAAATTGCACTCTCTCATGTATCTTCAGGGGTCTTATGTCAAAAATATCTGTTTTCTTACTGCTTTATCATGTCAAAATGTTTGGTTTTCTCTTTACTCTTATTAATTTAGAACTAACTGAAAGAAGCAAGCTGTGCTTATGCTGAAGTTATTGCATTATCTGTTCTATTATACATGACAGAAGAAGTATAAAGTCAGCTAGGGTCCTGCAACTGAGCGGCACAAGGCAGGTGTGAATATTTACATATAACTGCCTTGAGAAGTGGCAGGGAGTGAGCTGGATTGATCCCGGTGCCATGTCAAGCTCAGCATGGAATCACAGCTAACGGAATGGGGTCACCTGAACCTGCTGTGCCACCACATTGCTCAAATCTATTCCAGCCTCGAGTCTGTGCTCGAGGTGACTGAAAGATGAACATGAGCAAGGCCGCTGTCCATCTGCGTGCCTGAATGTGGTTGAAGGTGGTTTCCAAGGATATCCAAGGATTTCTGCCCTTTCCAGGCTTTCGCACAGCACAGATTCACTTTATTTGATAAAACAAAGCCTAAGAAATGGTTTAATTGTCATCTCTGAAACTCTGAGTTTTAAAAAAGAGGTGGGAGGGGTCTCAAGTTTAAGAATGATGTTGGTATTAGAGCAGAATATATTAAAACTCCAATGTTTTGTCCTATACCTGGAGGCATCGCTGAGCACCACCGCACGTGGCCTCCGAGCTTCGCTGAGCTCACCTACCTTTGCAAGGACAGTAGGGAAATAAGTCGTGCGTTTTTCTTTTATTCCCAGGTGGGTAATTTCATTAGCACATTTCATCTTGCAGATTGCAGAGCTGGTTCCTGTGTCCAGAGCCAAATGATTTATTCCTTGGCAGTGTATGGGCACTTGGAGCATAGAGAAGGGATCTCTTTTGTTATAAAGTTCTTTCCTGGATGTTTCCAGGAATATCATTTTAAGATGTTTTCATGAAGGAGCAGCTCTTATATGCATAATGTCCACAGAAGATAAGTTGTGTGAGTGGAGCACAAAAGTCAACAAAGGGTCCCTAAGAAGAATTGAATATGGTCCAACAGAAATGCGTACATGATTGTGGGGAATGGGAAAAAAGAAAATGGGGAATTTTGGTGTCCTGGCTCAGTTTGTGATCAAATACATATGTTGCCTATGCTGTACTGCAATTTTATGGTGTGTCTGAGATGTTTTGAATACAGAAATTATTGAAGTTTGGCTTTGAAATAACTGAATCCTGCACATAATTTGACTGTTTCACAACTGTCTTAAATTATGCTCTAATTATGTAGTATTAATAACATAATTATTTGTCCTTATTTATGTATGAAAAATCTAAATACAGTGCCTTTTGGCTAACCCCATTTGCCCTTCTGCCTTGTATTTCAGAACAGCGGGACTGCTTATATTCATTACTTGCCTTGTCAACTGTTTAACCCCGTTTTCTCTGTGTTATTCTGATTAAAAAAAGAAACAGTTTAAAAGGCCAAATCGAGTTATAATTTTGTTTACTTTTACATAATGTCATACTAAGGGTCAACCACTAGCCTCTTTATGATAAGCTGCCCCTTTTCCCTTAAGCACAATGAATGCTGTAGGTCCGCGTCCCTTGACGGATCTTCCTTGGACCAAACACCCCTTGACATGGTGCCTGGTGAGACACTGACCCACTCTGCTGGCTCTCACATCCTCACATCTGGCTAGGAGCAACTATTTATAATTGCCAGCAGTTTAGACCTCTCCGAGCTGCAGTTTTCATCATGGAGTTTAAGAGATCCTGTGAAGTCTTTCCTGTATGAAAGGCCACTGACCACCCCAAATCAACTAATGGTTTCTGGGTTGTCATTCCGTGCTCTAGTGAGGGGCTCTTCTTTTGGTTTGCTTTGAGCATGCAGCACGAGGATAACATTGGGAACCCC